CTAAAGGATGCGCTGGATTCAAAATTACGACCGGAACAGCCTGGCTGGCTTCAGGAAGAACACATCATGTGCGGATCAAATCGCAATGCTACGCTACGCATCATCACAGAAAAGAGTATAGAATGGCAGTAAACTCTCTATCTCAAATACATCGACTCAGGAAAGGCCTTCAACAGCGTCAACCGACAAGTATTTGCAGGCAGCTGCTTCAACATTACGGAATACCACAAACCTTAATCAATCTTATTCAACAGCTATATGAAGACGCCACATGCCAGGTGATTCATAATGGAAAGCTCAGTGATGCCTTTGAAGTGAAGACAGAAGACAGGAGTAAGACAAGGTTGCCCCCGACTATCACCGATTATCTTCCTAATCGTATCGGACTCGATTGAATCATACAACAAACTGTGAGGAGAGAGAAGATGGGCATACACTGGCTGGATCGATGAAAAAACCCCACAAGAAGATTTGGATTTCGCCAATGATGATTTATGTCTAATGTTCTTTAGCACAAACTCCATGATCTACAGGCAAAATCCAACAAGTTGACAGAAGAGACGAGGCAGCGAAGACAGGACTCCCTTCAGGTGAATGTAGAGAAGACAGAGGTGATGAAGATACCCAACCAACAACGACAACAAGCTCCAATCACCATGAACGGGAGAAATCTAAAAGAAGTTGTCTCTTTCACCTACCCAGACCTCGGCAGCATCGTTTCAACTGCAGGCGACGGTGGCGGCACAAATGAGGATGTCAAAGCCATGATCAGAAAAACAGCAAGACAGGCTATCCTTAATCCGAAATCAGTGTGGAGATCTACTCCACTCCACTCAGCATACAGTACGAACAACATCCGGATTCTCAACACTTATTTTAGTCAAGTCAGTGCTGCTATATGGTTCAGAAACTTGGTGAGTCACGAAAAGCACTTCCAACAAACTACAGATATTCATCAACAGCTGCCTACGCTGGTTCGATGCTGAAGATCACATGGCCTGAATAATAAGAATAAGCTACAAGGAACTCTGGGGACAAACCAACGAAGCAAGAACTTATCATCCAACAACTATGCAGTAGAAGAAAGTGGAGATGGATTGGGCATACACCGAGAAAACCATGCGGAGACATCACGCACCAGAACCTCGAGTGGAATCCAAAGGGGGAGCGACGAGTTGGGCTTCTCAGCTGGAGATGACATGGAGGAGATCATGTGAGGAAGAAATGAAAGCTTGTGGGTAGTTGTGGAGTCAGGTTCAAAAGACTGCAGAGAACAGAGTGGAATGGAGACATGCTACTGAATCCCTATGTTCCACTAGGAACCCAAGGGACAAATAATGATAATGATAATAATAATAATAATAATAATAATAATAATAATAAAGTGCATCCGCTCAAGCTGCCATACTTCAAAGTAATCTACAAAGAACATGTAGATAGGAAGGACTGATATCAAGGTAAACAAAGCTGTGGTTAGCGCGAATATTCAAGCTTCAGATGTCAAGAAGTGAATACATCTGCGCCGTTATGACTGATTTTCAGCCATGTCACCAACAGTCCTCAACTAATGATTCCTATTATCTCATGGAGCCCAATGAGACAGTCTATATCTCCCTACACGGCTCTGATTAACAGTCAGTGACTTCATGAACTTATGCCAAGCCTCGGTCTGGCCACCCTGAACCTTCTACCAACCTAATCCAACTTCCGCTAGCATCCGACATCGAGGTGGGAAATGGCTTGAACAGTTGAGTTTAAATAACCAATCAGATTACAAGTTGGCTAGTGATAGGTAGTGACAAAAATGCAGCCAATAGAGGAATTATTTTCAGCTGATGATTTAAGCATGTACTGACATGATAACGTGATTGGACAAATTCGAAGTCAGACAACCAATCGGATTGGTTCATTTATGGCTTCATTTTCTAAGAGTTTGTATATACATATACATAAATACCACGTATTAATCTAATAGTTATTGTTTCTGTTCTTGTTGTCACAGGTCTTTTTTTTCCTCCTGATTTTCGCGGCTGAGTGAAGTATATGGTGTGGGGGAGGACAGTTACATTACTCGTATCCATGGTTTGAACTGTAGTACAAGTATCTCGTTTCTCTTATTGTTAGAACCCACGATTTAAACCAACACAGTCATACCAGCTAACCAATAGGTTGTTAGCATTAAGTGGTTGATGTACACTTCCTGGAATTGTTTTTCAGTATAGTGTGGAACAAAGGGTTATAAGGAGATGAATTATGTACATGCGCAGGAAACATAAATGTACATAAGTATAGATAGATGACTGATTGATATGTACTTCAGTGTGTTGTTTTTTTCAAACAGAGAGTTTATTTGTGATGATAATTTGTCACTTAATCCTTAATCTGATCTGAGGGATTTTCATTATTCTTTTACACTATTTTATGCATTTTGTCCCCTCAACAAAAATTGGTTTTATATATCCTTGCAAAATCATTACTTGTTTAAGATCATTTTTGCGTCTTTTTGATTTGTGTCAATACTCTTCAACTTGACCAAAGCTACGGTAGGTGGCTGTAGTAGTAGAATTCAGGAGCGCATTTCGTCCTATTTCCGACTCATCAGGTGCGTTTACCTGCCTCCTAGTGAGTGATGTTATTCCTACCACAACTCGGACTGATGGCTTAAAACGCCACTATGCCACTGCTTGTGCGACAAGTATGGCTTCTATGTTATTGATTGTGACCAAAGCCAAAATGATATCAAGAGAAAATCAATAATTATGACCTAACGACTGGATAGAAAATAGTCATTGGAAGTTAACCTGAAGATCTGCAGGTAGTCAGTGTATTTATAACCACGGATTTATATTTGCACATGATATATGTTCGATTCGGCAGGGTATCAATGACAACTGTAATAACTTGTAATTAATCAGAAAGAGGCTTTAAAATGTAACGAAATGATCCAGATCCACGAGATTACCGAATGTGTATACGTCATCCAGTTGTTATGTCAACACGTATCTGTGTTTTCGTGATTGAATGACTTCATTCCAGTTCACTTGTTTGCGTAATTCATCTGTCTGAGTTATAGAGGTTATGTAACGCAAACAAGTTTGGTTCTTCCCCTTATGACCCTAGTTGGTAATAGACTATGCTGATTAAATTATAACTCGATATGGAAACAGGACAAGTGTCGTTTATGCTACTTCCGAAGATAAAGGACAAGGACGCAAAATTAATGACCTATCGAATGACCTTGAATAACCAATCAGAATCGTAGGTTAAAAAAACATACTTTTAGGTCCAATTGTATATGGACTAAAAATTTTTTTAAAGTAAGAAAATAAATACACAGGATAGTTTTAACGTGCATATTCTCATTGGAATATCAGTAGAGAAATTAAGAACACTTCAGGTTAATGATATTAACGATCTTTCGAAAATAAAATGTTCTGATTGGTTGTTTAAGGTCATTAGATGAGACGTTGGTTTTCGATCACTACATTTTAACTTCTTAATGCAATTAAATAGTATTGAGAGAGGCTTTTTCAAAGAAAGTTACAAGAGCAAACAATCGCTTGGTGAATATTATAGACACAGAAATAGGATAGATTGGGATACGGTAGTTAGAAGAAGAGAAATGATTTTTTGTCAACAGGATATTTAATCAATACTAACGGTTATTGGCTCAATAAACAATATTTCACTATGTTCGTTAGTGTTGTTCTCATCACAACACGCCAATTACATAAATTAATAATAATAATAATTTGTACTGGGTGGTGATTGAAGGTGGAATGAAAATTTCGACCGCGACCGAATTCGAACCAGCCACCATCAAGTTTCCTGCCCAATGCTCTACCAATTGAGCTACGAGGTTCGATTGCTAACCAGATTTCTTAATTTCACTTCAATGATTAAGAGTTGTACCCGACTACCATGTGAATTCATGATGCGCTACTGCCACTTGATCATATTCATACTGGTTGGCTTGTCAGAAGTTCCTATCCCAATCGAAATCTTAGCGAATTGAAGAGGAGGAGCATCATATTCATTATTACTTCGACTATCTGAGATAGTCGTGGTTTGGGAGACTAGTATTAATAATGGGTGGCCGGATTGAAAACTCGGTGGTCGCTGGTTCGAGTCCGGCCGTGGTCCGAATTTTCATTTCACCTTTAATCATCAGCCCCGGTATCGATACTAATCTGCCAAACCACGACTATCTCAGATAGTCAAGATATGCGCACCTGAGACCCAACAAAAGGAGGGTAGTTTGAATCTCTAATTTCCTAATTGAAAGTTAAATGCATATAATAACGAATACTTAGAAATAAAATCCCCATAAACCCCAAACTACAATAGTGCATGGTGCGCATTAGTGACATGTTTCGAGATGGATATCCTGAAGTTTTAACAAAGAGCCTTGACCTGCGGGATCAACCATTCGGAATTGAAGCAAATGACGACTGAGAATACTGGTGAATAGTCGCGCTATATCGCGAATTTAGAAAAACAGGAAACAGTGGACCACTAAACTCCAACCAACTGGTCAACATGTTCTGCGTGAAACCTAAAAGTCTTGGCTGTGTACAGCTGAAGATTCTCGTACTGAGACGAAACAGTAGAAGTAAAAACAATCGAAACCTAATGACAATCAATCATCTGAGAATTGAATTAAAGCTAAGAAAATGAAAACCTACCTCCACTGAGCTTTGAAAAGCTTGAGCAAAGAAGTCAATGACTACTGAATTCACTTGAATTGTAACACCATCAATCACTTTATCACTGAAACCATATTTACCAGATCCAGCTCTACACGAAGAAGAAGAAAAGGTGAAAAAGTAAAGATCAGATTATTATTGTAAAACAAACCTATAATTAGCTACTGATGAATCTGAAGCTGGACGTGGTTCTTCTAGGGCTTGAACTTCAATATTGATATGATCAATACTCTATCATTTTAAAGAATATAATTTTTTCATGATTTTATTTTTTATACTTACAATAAGAATAGGATGAGTTTTCAGTTTTGTCCAATATATCTAAATGTATGTTTATATATACATGTATACATATTAAACAATAAACTTACCTTAGCTACAACATTTTTACAGTGTGCTTTACGTAACAATAACCATGTCGGTAGATCCAACAATTCCATTAAAGCATTCTCCTCCAATTCTAAGCTTTCCAATTCTAAAGTACCTTTTAATAAACTCATATGAAGTTTATTTGAAGATAGATTTTTTGTAAACCTGGATTAATAAATTGATAAGATAGGATAGGATAGATAAGTATTTCTTAAATGCAGTATGTAGGTTATAGTAATACGATAAACCGTATACTGCATTCACAAGCCAATTTACTCAATATTTCACATCTTAGGATACATTTCAAGTGAAACATTCGACCTATTTTTAAGTTGGTATCCATCAACTAGAGAACTATTGGTAACTTAGAAGCGCAGAACAGCCGCGTTTTGTCCTCAGTAGCGTACATCCAAGATTTTGAAGGTGTATACCAGCTGAAGACTTATACACTAGGATGAGACAGTTGTTTAGTAGTCCTAGGCTTTCAATTTTGGTTGAATATTCCAGTGGATAACGTTTTGACAAAGTCTAAAATGAACAAGTTCTGTGTTTAAGTCTTAGTTAGAACAGATTTTGTATACATCTAGGCTTGTTCTCCTACATCAAGATAAAATGATCAGTTTGAATTCCACTGATAGTCATCCCTAAGATGAATAAGTAAAATATAGGCTTAGAATGTACACTAGTTAGTAAGACTGTATTAAGATATGATATGAAACCCAACAAATATGCAGTAGAAGAAAGTGGAGATGGATTGGGCATACACCGAGAAAACCATGCGGAGACATTACTCACCAGAACCTCGAGTGGAATCCAAAGGGGAAACGACGAGTTGGGCTTCTCATGGAGGAGATCATGTGAGGAAGAAATGAAAGCTTGTGGGTAGTCGTGGAGTCAGGTTCAAAACATGGAATGGAGACATGCTACTGAATCCCAATGTTCCATTAGGAACCCAAGGGAAAAATAATAGTAATAATAATGATATGAGACTGAAGTTATCGATACTATTGCTTAAAATGTATGGAAAGTGTAGAGTTACTTGTTGAAATCGGAGATTATATCGGCAGTTTAGTTTAAGGCAATCAGCAGAAAGTCCTGACATCAGTATCTCAAAGGAGCTTATGTTACTTGTAAGATTGGAGCATGTGTCATTCAATGCTGTGGTCAGGGACGTTACCATTGAGCTACTCAGGTCATAATTTCTTTTTTGTAGGACCCGATTGGGTAAATTGATTAGTCACTAGAGAGCAACCAATTTCATGTTGTCTATTTCTCAGTCCTGATCGAATTGTATCGATCATTTTGCAATGAAGCAATCATTTCAGGAGACTCACCAATGCAGTAGCAAGATCTCTAACCAAAGCAGTGTGTGATACAGGTTCGAATGTTTCAGAGGACATCAGTCCCATGAGATTACAAATACACTTTCTTGATGTGTAACAGTAAGCACTTGATACTAATCACAGTGAACTGTGCTGCTGAGTTTCCAAAGCTTGGTGACCATATTACAAACAATCGACAGGATTCCATAAACATTAAGGCATAGAAATTGGTTACTGTCCAGTGGCCAATCAATACTTATAGCTATTGTATTCATACAATTATAACTTATCCCTCTAACTATTCACACACACACAATCAACTAAACAGTCCTATGTCGTACTAAACAGTCAATGTTATATGCATTTATTTCTCTGTCAACACTAGGCTACCTATAAATAAAGTGGTAAATTCAATTATGTATATTTATCTACAGAATTGACCAATCTTATCTACGTCTTACACTGTATGAGATAACATTCAAGAATGTATAAGTGTACAGCCTGAGGCAGGAAATTATTTGAAAATTGTTGACTAAAATGTTGTCTGTTTTTTTTCTGGCTTGGAAATCAAAGCCATAAACAAGTTTTGTAATCTAACACAATGGTGAAAATGAAACCTCTTGTTTTCTCCTTACACTTTATACACTATTATTTTTCTACACTTATTTATTTTTCATCTTCATATATATCATTTTGCTTAACTGAGATAGCTATGGTTTAACAGATTAGTGTAGATAGTAAGTGATGATTGAAGGTGAAGTGAAAATCTGAACTACGGTCGGATTTGAACCATCGACCATCGGGTTTCCGGTTTAGTGCTTTACCAACTGAGCTACGAGGCCCGACCTCTGGACAGATTTTTATACATAAGTCTGAAGACATGTACTTAATCTCCTTGCCCAACTCTCTTTGTGTAGTCATCCCCCCCCCCTAAAATATGATTACTAATCATTTAGTGTAAAACTACATGTTCCTGTCAGTGTGGGCAGTGAAATTTGTGAATAATATTCAAACTAAATTATGGTCTACAAGTCCAACTGAGTCAGCTAGCCTGATAAAGGTGAAATGAACGGTTTTATTCTTTACGCTGTAGCTCCAGTGGTTTGGGGAGATGACTACCAACCACTGGGTCACAGATTCGATTCCCGCTCCATCTACTACGGTTTGGGAAGCTAGGTAATATTACTATCCCTCACAGAATAGGTATGGCTCATTTTACATACTATACGAATGTGAGCAAGGTAGCTGAGTACGTTACATACTCTTTAAGCTGAATCATTCCGCGTACACTGCTGATGAGCCAGACTTCAAATGAGTGAAACAACTTATTTAATCGGTATCTTTTTTTAATGTGCTTCAACCTTCAAAAATGTATCGCGATCGGACTCAGCAGTTTTTTTTCCAACTTTGCATTTCAGGTTACTACCTCAGATGTAGATGTATCAGTGCATTATCTTTTCTATCATCATCACCAAGATCAACACAGGACTGGGCATTACTGCATAGCGGTCCAATTTGCCACACCTCTTATCAGTATATCAAGTAACAAGGCAATATGATGGAAGATGAAGGAAAGAAAAAATCTGTCAAAGGAGGTAGTAAAAGAGAGGAAGAATGAGAAAATGATGAGATTATGTATAATGTTAAGAGGAGGATAATGTGTGTATAGAGTTGCGCCACTGACACCGCTTCTGAGTCATATCACCTAGAGTCTCCAACCACTGGTTTCTCCTGGCGCGCGGACACCAACTGACTAGTCTCTATCACCCTACATAGCTTAAATCAACAGTCAAGGAATTTTGAGGGAGTTGTGGGGATTTGGAAATATTTCAAGTTGTTATTCGAGGACTTCATGCACTGATGCCACGTTTCAGTCTGCCCCCCACCCCATGAGGCTTTTTCCAGCGTGAGCCAACTTCGACCAACATTATGCGATGGGGCAGACGGTAGCTAGGCATACATAACACATATCCCAGCCATCTCAGTCGATGAAGCTTCACAACCACATCAACTTTCTTATCTCTCATGCCTAAAATTCTACACCTGACCTCTGAGTTACTCACGTAGTGATACCATGAAACATGGCCTATTCTACGAAGGCAGAGGTGGTCAATCACTTGATGCCTTCACATGCGTTCTACCTTTAATGGCCGTGTTTCACAGCCATACATTAGAACAGTGGAACTGCAACACAGTACATTCAGCCCTTGATAGACAATCGCATAGCGAGGCGGCACCACAAACGGCATGAGTTGGCAAAAGCCAACCGAGCCTTTTGTATCCCTGCAGAGATTTCGTCGGCCACTGACCCACCAAGAATGATACGACTTTTTAGGTAGGTGAAGTGTTCAATGCACTAGACCACTTCGCTCTGTTTTGTTAACTGGGGCACCGCTGAAGACCAGTCCTGGAGCAACTGTTTGCATTTAGATGGCGAAAAACCCATCCCAAGCATTCTCAAATTGCAACTCAAGGTTTTCAGAAGACTCTGCATCTTTCCATGCTCTTAACCTAACAGGGCTATGTCATCTGCGTATTTTGTGTCTAACAAAATTCTTCCTGTGATTAGGTCAATCCCTACGTAGTCAGATGACGAGTCAGAGACCTCCATAAGAACGTCTATGATAAAATTGAATAAGAATAGAGGAATTGGCCGTCGTTGATGGACACCAATCAACGTACACAAATCATCCGACATTTCACTAAAGGCTCTAACACGTCCACAGGTGTTCGAATAACGAGCCTTCAACAAGGTGATGTGCTTACTCGGTACACCTTTCAGTGAGACACTGCCATAAGACTTCTCGATGGACGAAGTCAAATGCCGCCTTCAGGTCGAGAAATATGGCTAATGTCGGGCGTTGTTAAGCGTCCCAGAACCTAGTGGAGTATAAATATTTGGTCGATACACGCATGGCCAGGTCTGAAGCCTGGCTGGTTTTCTCCAAATATTAAAGTTATTTTCAGTGTATGGGTTGCATTATTTATATTAACCTTTTTCTCAACCTTTTCCTGCTTCCTTATTAAGACTGATATAATCCTTTAACCTCTTTTTCTTCTATCTGCTCACTTCTCTTCGTTACCCTAATGTTTGGGTTGCTGATTTGTACTACTACACTGTTATATAACGCCATACATTGTTTTCTACTGAGTATCTGGCATCCACTTTTGAAACGCATTTTACGTCAACCAAACGGTGCATGTACATATATATCGTTAAGGTTTCCGTTGCACACCGGAAGATTCTGTACTAATGTGACATCCCAACGAGGCTAGTACAACTTCACCCCTAGAGTGAAAATAGGCGAGAGAAATTGAAGTTGATATATTACAACACTAATATTCAAGGTTAGTCGATCTCACTTATAAACCCCTAGCTCTGCACGGTGATAAGCATTTTACTGCTTGAAAGGTAAGAGATCAGTCAATGCCTACATAGTGTTCCATAATACAGGTTTCTGTCATGGCAAGATTTTTATGAATTACAACCAAGGATAGTCAGTCTTTATGGAAATAGGTTATAGCATTGGTATGCTACAGTAGAATTTGGCATCACAAATTAACACAACAGCATACGAAGCAACAATATGAAAGGTAAGTGAGTGGAAACAGCATAACCACAAACCGTAGAAAGACTCAGAGCGGAAAGTAGACTAGGCAAATAACGAAATATGATATATGTTAGTACGAAGGTACGGTGAGGATGAATCTCCACTTCTGTGATCGATTTTGCGTCGTACCATGTAAAGTCCCTAGCCGTCGATTTCGGGTTTTATGCAGAACTTAAACAGGAAGTCTGTATTTTCCTATAAG